AAGTAACGAGTTAGCCGGCCATTTTGTGTATTTTAGCCTCGTTACCCTGTTTATTGCTTATTATATATTCATTTATGGTTACGTGACTTTCCGAGGTGGTTAGTTTGGTTTCGTAGATGTTTCGGAGTGAATAGGGACACTTATTCCCAAGGTTGGAAGCTTATGTTGGAAGAGTTGACCGGAGTTTGACTTTTATATAGAAGACTCCAGAATAGAGTTTTGATGGTTCCGATAGGTTTGTATGGTGATTTTGGACCTAGGAATATGTTTGGATGTTGTTTCGGAGGTCCATAGATTGATTTGATGATTTTTGGCGAACATTGGAAATTTGAAGGTTTGAATGGTTGGGAGGTTTGACCGAGAGTTGACTTTTTTGATATCGAGTTTAAATTTTGGTTCCGGAAGTTGGAATTAGGACTGTTGTGTCATTTATGACTTGTGAGCAAAATTTGAGGTCATTCGGAATTGGTTTCATAGGATTGGGCATTAGTTTTAGAAGTTGGAAGTTCATTAGTTCATTAGGCTTGAATTGGGGTAAGATTCGTGATTTCGATATTGTTTGATGTGATTTGAGGCTTCGACTAAGTTCGTATCGTGTTTTAGGACCTGTTGGTATGTTTGGATGGGGTCCCGGGGTCATCGGGTGTGATTCGGTTCAAGTTCGGATTCATTTTGGACTTAATGGAGTTGCTGATTTCTGGGCATCTGGTTTCCTCTTTCATGATCGCGAGTAACGGGTCGCGGTCGCGACAATCATTTTTGGTAGGTGAGATTTTGTTCTTCGCATTCGCGCGGTGAAGGATGCAATCGTGAAGCTTTGGGTGTTTGTTCAACGTGAACGCGAGTGAGGGGACGCGTTCCCGAAGAAGGAAGGGGACGCCTAAGGAATTTCACACGATTGTGTATCGCGATCGCGTGTGGTGGTCCGCGATCGCGTGGGTATTGGTCACTGGGAATCGTGTTCGCCACTTAGTTATCGCATTCGCATAGAATGATTTTTGCGACTAGAATTTTTGTTCTTCGCGATCGCGAGGGACATTTCGCGATCGTGAAGGGTAACAACTGGGCAGAAGTTTTTAAATCCCATTTCTTGAGTTAGAGTTATTATATCACATCTTGAGTTGTATAGAGCTCGGTTTTGGGTGATTTTAGAGGGAATTTTTACGTGTTGGATCGGGGTAAGTGTTTTTGATCGGATTTGTTCATTAATCATGATTCCATCCTTGTTTTTATCATTTATTTGGTGATTTGTAGTAGAGAAATTGGGGGTTTTGTAAAAACTTTTCTAAAAAGAAAAGTGTTGATATAAAGGTCGATTTGAGGTCAGAATTAGATTATTTTGGTGTGGTTAGGCTTGTAATCGAATGAGTATTCAGAATTTTTGAATTTTGTCAGGTTCCAAGGTGGGGGCCCGGGGTTGACTTTTTAATTTTAGTTACAGATAGCTTTATCATTTGGAATCAATTCCTATGGCTTTTATTGATTATATTAAGTTGATTTGGTTAGATTCGGATCGTCCGGAGGTCGATACGCGTGGGAATGGCTTGTTAGATGATTGATTTGGCTTGCTTGAGGTAAGTATCTTATCTAAACATTGTTGAGGCACGAGTTACCTGAATTATTTATAATAGTTACGTGCTATGAGTGGCACATATGTGTGGAGTTGAACTTAGATGCATGCACCGAGGTACTATTTCCATGCTCGGGTAGTGCTTAGTCTATGATATGCCTTGAAATGACTGATCAGATTCAAGTTGAGATGTTTCTCCTATTTGTACCCCTCTGTGAGCTATTTGTAGTATAATTGGGATTTCATTGAGGTTATTCTTTTGATTTAACCTAATAAACTACTATTTCTTGATTAAATTTGTCTGTTCTAGCTTGGATAGCACACGTTGCACATGCCTACACTGTGGCATTTTATTTATACCAGTCCAGTAGTATGAAACTTGATAATCATTGATCATGTACATGTATTCCTGCATATTTACTTTTTCTATGATATGAGCTGGACTTGTCGCCTGTGACCACATCGAGCGGATTGTGATTATTGGCACGTGAGTTGTTCATGCGGTTAATTCTATTAGCACGTGAGTTGTCTGTGCGGATCCAGTTATTAATATTATTAGCACGTGAGTTGTCCGTGCAACATGTAAGTTGTCTGTGCAGTTGATTCTATTAGCACGTGAGTTGTTCATGCATCACGTGAGTTACCCATGCAGTGGGTGGATATGGATCCATTCCCTTAGGATCACCCTCTCATGTTTCTCTCTTGATGGTGTACACGCGGGTATTGAGGTAAAATAATCAGTGGTTTGGTGTGGATATGGAAAGGTAAAGGAAACTCTTACCATTGTTATTTTAGAACTGCATTTCATCTTTACTTGCAATTTCCATGGTTTATTATCTGATTTTTCCACTTAAAGTATGTATATTTATATGCATATTGCATCGCATTTTACTCATGTTTCGTAGATTTCGATTGTGTAATGTAATAGTTTGTGCTAATTCGTGGTATTCTTATATGTAGGAATCATCCGGATGCAATGTGGGACGAAGGTGCGTGATTTGAAGCAAAAAGGGGACAAAATGAAAAACATACCACAAAGTAGCGCCTAGGCTAGCGTGGGGCGCTACCTATGGCGCAGAAATCAGACCATAAAATTTCCCAGCGATAGGGACAATGCACCACGCTACCCTGGGCGCTAGGTGATGGGAAATTTTCCTACCTCAACCGGACAAGTTTATTTCAACCCAAGACACCCCAAACTCGAATAAAAGCAAGTCTAAACCTATTTTGGAGGCGGAGACGCCACTTTGAGAGGAAAATACATATACGAAACACTCAGGATTAAGGACTATCAGTTTTTCTTTATCTTTCTTAGTATTTTCAACTATTCAACACTTGTGAAATTGTTTTGATTTTATCATGAATGGCTAAACCCATAAGTTCTGGGGTTGTGATTTAGCCATGAATATTGTTATTTGAAGTTGACTTAACCTTGATTACAATTTGTTAATATATGGTTGTTTCTTCAATTTTTTGATTAATTGCTTAATTGTCTGGCCAATAGTTAGGTTCTATTTACTCTCTTGCTATGCTTGGGAAAGCTACATCTAGATTAGAGAATAATTAAAGAGGGAATTATCTTAACTCTGAGCGGCGGATTTGTGGTTAGGATAGGAATATACCTAGTCACCATGCTCAATTGAATATCGTAATATTAATGCATTCTTGATGGATTGATTCCATAGGAATATAGGCATTAATCTATTCTGAATAAGCGAATAGTAATTCGGGAGAATACTATGACAACAATTATTCGATTAATTAGCAACCATGAGCAAATTGTATGAAAGGAAGAGTTAACTAGAATGCAATAGGATTGGTGAATCGATCAAAACCTTGGAATATTCATCTCTGATGAATACACAACAATTATTTCGATGCTTGATTAATTAGTTACTTGTTACATATGTTGCTTAGTATAATCACACTTTTGAACTCTGATTGACTCGACTGTATAACAATCTTGGTAAATTTAGTGGGTAGTTAACACACGTCTCTGTGGGTTCGACACTCGATTTATCATTTTATTATTTGTACGACCACGTATACTTGCTTGTGCATTTGAGAGCAACAAGTTTTTGGCATTGTTGCCGGGGAATTAAATATTGACTACTTTACTAGTTTTTACTTTAGTTGTTTATTTCGTCAAGTCTAACGTTTCTTATTGGTTGCTCTGCTCTCAGGAACTTTGATTGAATGCAATGGGTCAGAAGCCAAGATAGACTTTAAGGCATTCACCCCAAACCTGAGAGAACATTTCACAAGAGATAGACATAAGCAAGGGACACAGATAATCTTCAAGCACTTGTTCAATTATCTATGAACATGGCAGAGGAGTAACATATGGCTGTTCAAGAGGTGGCAATGCCCAACATTGGTAATGTCACCTCCAGCATTGTGAAGCCCAGAATCACTTGGCACTTTGAGCTAAAACAGAACATGATCTAATTACTACATGCAAATGGGCAGTTTATAGGTCTTCCAGACGAGGATACACAACAACACATTCTGCACTTCTTGGAGATTAGTGATACTTATATCACTAACGGAGTCACTCTAGACTATGTGAGGCTCACATTGTTCCAGTTTTCTCTATTGGGCAAAGCAAAGTGGTGGTTGAAGGCGGAACCAGTTAATTCTATTACATCATGGAATGATCTGGCAAGAAAAAATTTGCACGGTTCTTCCCTTCAGGCAAAACTGCAAAGATCAAAAGTGAGATAGTCGCCTTCAAACAGAAATCGGGGGAGTATTTATATTCAACTTGGGAGAGGTTCAAGGGGCTGCTAAGAGATTGTCCTCAACACAACCAGAAAAATTAGGTGTTACCTCATACCTTCATAGAAGGGCTACATCCAGAGACAAAAATTGTGGTGGACGTTGCAGCGGGAGGTCAAGTGTTGGGGAAAAGCTTTGATGAAATTTATGATGAACAAATTCTCCAAAAGTAATCCTTATTGGCAAGGATAGATGGGCAGACTCAACGTTCAAAAATCTGCAGGGGTCCTCGAGTTAGATGTTTTTTCTGCCTTATCAGCGCAGGTTGCCATGTTGGCCAACCAAGTCAATAAGATGACCTTGGTTTTTAACAAGCAACAAGCTCAGCCAGTGCAGCAAGTTCAAATATTTTATGACGTATGTGGAGAGGGTCACACATGCAACTTATGCCCAACTAATCCAAAGACTATATGTTTTCTAGGTAATGCAAATAGACACTTACAATCCTAATTGGAGGAACCACCCAAACTTCTCTTGGGATGGAAACCAAGGTGCACAGAATTAGTAACGGCCACAAGCTCCTCAACAGCAATATAGACTACCACAAGCTGAACAGCCTACAAACTCGACGAGTCATATTGAGGAGATGCTAAAGAAATTTATGGATGACCAACATACCCAAGTAGTATCGATGAGAAATTTGGAGCGACAAATGGGGCAACTTGCCAGTGCCCAAAATACTCGACCAGTTAGAGCTCTTCCAAGTGACCCTGAGGCTAATGCTAAGGCATATATTAATGTCGTGTCATTGAGCAATGGGAGACAGTTAGAAGAAGTCGCATTGAAAAAGAAAAAGCAAGTGACCTTTAAAAAACAAGCCATAATAGAGGCAGAATCACAAAAAGCAAAGGAGTCAGAGAAGCCAGTTGAAGAGGCGATAGCAAATCAATCCCAACCACTAGTTGTGAGGCCACCACCTCCGTTCCCGCAGAAATTGTAGAAAGTGAAGGACAATGCTTCTTATAAGAAATTTCTTGATATTTTGAAGCAGGTGCAAATTAATATTATGCTGGTAGACATCTTGCATAAAGTGCCCAAATATGCCAAATACATCAAAGACATAGTGGCAAATAAGAGGAGTTTGGTTGAGTTTGAGACTGTGGCACTAACCAAAGAATGTAGCTCAAGAATCCAAAGCAAGCTACCTCAGAAATGGAAAAATCTGGGTAGTTTCACTCTCCAAATCTCGATTGGTAAGCACGCAGTCGGGCGAGCTTTGTGTGATCTTGGGGCGAGCATCAATTTGATGTCGCTATCTATTTTCAAAAAGTTGGGGTTGGGTGAGCCGTGCCCAACTACGGTTATTTTACAGTTGGCTAATCGCTCCTTTGCTCATCCAGAAGGGGTGATTGATGATGTGTTAGTTCAAGTGGGTTCTTTCATATTTCCTGCTGATTTCATTATTTTGGACTATGAGCCTGATTAGGAAGTCCCATTTATTTTGGGACGTCTATTCTTAGCTACGGGCCGAGCTATTATTGATGTATGTGAAGGAAAGATGATAATAAGAATGGGTGATCGAGTGGAGGTATTCAATGTTTATAAAGCACTCAAATTGTCAGCCCGCTATGAAGAGCTATCTATGACTCTAGTGGTGAAAAGTGATGTGACTTCATTGGTGCCTTATATGAGCCCCATAGATCCTATTGAACAAGTTTTGATGGGGAATGAAGAAGAAAGTGAAGATGAGATGATGGAAGAAGTTGAGCAAGTCCTTAACATGTATTGCATGTATGTCCATGGGCTTGGGAGATTTGAGAAGTTGGACAGACCTGCTACTCTGTCTCCTAAACCATCTGTTAAAGAAGCTCCAAAGCTAGAGCTCAAGCCTCTTCCAGTGCACATGTGCTATGCCTACTTGGGGAATTCTTAAATGTTGCCAGTGATTATTTCATCCAGCTTGACTAATGTGCAAGAAGAAAAGCTGCTCAGAGTCCTTCGTGAGCACAAAAGAGCTATTGGGTGGACAATTGTTGATATCCAGGGAATCAGTCCATCATTTTGCATTCATAAAAGTTTTCTTCAAGATGGACACCGCCCCAGTGTTGAGCAACAAAGGAGGTTAAATCCTATTATGAATGAGTTCGTGAAGAAGGAAGTAATTAAGTGGCTTGATGCATGTATTATCTTTCCTATATCTGACATCAAATGGGTGAGCCCAATGCAATGTGTTCCTAAAAAGAGGGATGACTGTTGTAGAGAATGAGAAAAATGAGCTAATTCCTGCTCGCACCATGACGGGGTGGAGAGTTTGCATTGACTATAGAAGGCTCAACAAAGCAACCTGCAAGGACCACTTCCCACTTCCATTCATTGACTAAATATTGGATAGGTTGGCCGGGCATGTGTATTATATCTTCCTTGATGGTTATTCGGGGTACAACCAGATTGTCTTATGCCTAGAGGATCAGGAGAAAAAAACTTTCACGTGCCCTTATGGTACTTTTGATTTCAAGCGAATGCCATTTGGACTTTGTAATGCACCGGCCACTTTCTAGAGGTGCATGATGGCCATTTTCACTGATATGGTAGAAAGATTTGTAGAGGTCTTCATGGATGATTTTTCAGTCTTTGGGTCTTCTTGTGATGATTGTTTGACGAATTTGGGCAAGGTGTTGGCACGTTGTGAAGAAACAAATTTAGTTTTAAATTGGGAAAGTGCCGCTTTATGGTGCAAGAGGGCATCGTGTTGCGTCATAGATTGTCGAAGAGTGGCATTGAAGTTGATAAGGCGAAGGTGGAGGCGGTTGCAAAATTACCTCCACCCATCTTTGTGAAGGGTGTCCGGAGTTTCTTGGGACACACAGGTTTCTATAGACGCCAAGATGTTTCTAAAATTGCTACTCCATTGTGCAGGCTGCTTGAAAAGGATGTGACTTTCAAATTTGATGAACTCTGCCTGAAGGCATTCTTGGAGATCAAAGAGATGTTGGTGGCTGCCCCCCTTAATTTGGCACTGAATTGGTCCTTACAATTTGAACTTATGTGCGATGCAAGTGACCATGCTATTGGGGCAGTGTTAGGCCAGAGGAAGGACAAGATATTTTACTCCATATGCTATGCGAGTTAGACTCTTGATGATGAACGGTTGAATTACACCACCACTGAAAAGGAGTTGTTCGCAGTTGTGTTGGCCTTTGAGAAATTTTGAGCTTACTTGGTGGGATCAAAAGTTATAGTCCATACCAATCATGCAACAATCAGGTATCTATTTACAAAAAAAAAGAATCTAAGGCAAGGACGCTAGGTTTTTTGTTGCAGAAATTTGATATAGAAATACGAGATCGAAAGGGTACAGAAAACCAAGTGGCTGACCACCTGTCGAGGCTGAAAAATCATGAGCACGTAGAGGAAGGTGGAAAAATTAAGGAAACATTTCCTGATGAGCAACATTTTGCCATCACCTATGACCATACCCCATGGTACGCGGACTATGTGAATTTTATTGTGAGTGGGGTATTTTCGCTTGATATTTTAATCTGGCCCTAATACCCGAGGTCAAAAGAGAGTTGTTGGTAAACTCGGGAACGTCCTCAGGAATCTAGACCCTCTTTACAGACGGTGCATCGAACGCAAAGGGATCCGAACTTGGCATCATACTGAAGCCACCCATGGGTAACGTTGTTAGACAATCCATTAGAACTGTGAAGTTGACTAACAACGAGGACGAATATGAGGCCATGATTGGAGGTCTCGAGCTAGCCAAAGGCTTGGGGTGGAGGTGATCGAAGTTAAGTGTGATTCCCTCCTTCTGGTGAGTCAGGTTAACGGAACGTTCGAAGTCAGAGAAGAACGGATGCAAAGGTACCTGATAAGTTACAAGTAACATTACATCGGTTTAAAGAATGGACCTTGTAGCACGTGCCTCGAGATCAAAATAGCGAGGTCGATGCCCTCTCAACTCGGGGGCCGTTGTGCAACTAACGAGGTCAGTAGTCGAAGAAGGTCATGCCGAGATAAATTCCACAAGCTTAACCTGGGATTGGAGAAATAAATACGTAGAATATTTGAAGACCGAGAAACTTCCCTCAGATCCAAAAGAATCGAGGGCCTTGCGCACAAAGGCAGCCTGATTCACCTTGTCCAAAGATGGAATCTTATTCAGAAGAATGTTCGATGGCCCACTAGCAATAGGTCTAGGACCGGGAGATATCGAGTATGTTCTGAGGGAAGTTCACGAGGACACTTGCGGAAATCATTCAGGGTCACCAAATCATTGGTTCAAAAGATAATCAGAGCCGGCTATGACTGGATCGAAATGGAAAAAGATGCGAAAGAGTTTGTTCGAAAATGTGACAAATGCCAAATATATGCTCCAATGATTCACCAACCCGGGGAACTGTTGCATTCAGTCTTGTCACCATGGCCATTCATAAAGTGGGGAATGGACATCGTTGGCCCTCTTCAATGGGCACCAAGTAAGGCTCAAATTATCTTATTTATAACTGACTATTTTTATAAGTGGGTTGAAGCACAGGCATACGAGAAGGTTAGGGAGAAGAAAGTCATCGACTTCATTTGGGACCACATCATATGTCGGTTCGGGATGCCATCCGAAATTGTGTGTGACAATGGGAAACAGTTTATCGGTAGCAAAGTGCCCAAGTTTCTCGTAGATCATAAGATCAAAAGAATCTTATCGACACTTTATCACCCTAGCGGGAACAGGCAAGCCGAATCGACCAACAAAACCACAATCCAAAACCTTAAGAAGAGGTTAACCGACGCCAAAGGAAAATGGAAAGAGATCCTTCCCGAAGTCTTTTGGGCATACCACACGACTGCGAAATCCAGTACCGGGGCTACTCTGTTTTCATTGATTTATGGCACCGAAGCCTTAATACCGATCGAAGTGGGGGAACCAAGTATCAGACACTGATATGCAACAAAGGAGTTAAATGACGAGGCCATGAATACAAGCTTGGAACTATTGGATGAAAGGCGTGAGGCCGCCCTTGTTCGATTGGCTGCCCAAAAACAACGGATCGAGAGGTAATACAATTAAAGGGCCAACCTTCGATACTTTAATGTCAGGGACTTAGTGCTAAGGAAAGTCACCCTAAACACTCAGAATCCGAACGAAGGGAAATTGGGTCCGAACTGGGAAGGACCGTACCGATTCTCGAGGTCACCGGGAAAGGATCCCATAAGCTCGGAATGATGAACGGAGAACAACTACCGAGCAATTGGAATATATCCCACCTAAAATGAAATTACTGCTAAGGTACGACCCCATTTCATTTCCTTTTTATTTCGGACTAACACTTGCAGGTGATCAACAAGAAGTGGCATGAAGTTTTTAGGTATGAAAGCACGTGTTGCACTCTTTTTTCCTTAGACCGGTTTTGTCCGAAATGGATTTTTCGGCAAGGGTTTTAACGAGGCAACAATGGATCGTGCTAACTTAGAATCAAGTTCGATCATGAATAGATATCGAAGATCAATTCAACAATATCCGAGGTCCCTCTACAATCAACCTCGAATACTGGGGGGGGGGGGGGTATTACCCTCGGATATACATTACCTTCGGATATTAACTTTAGAGAGGAAATCACTTCATAAAAGAAGGGTCTCGAGCTCTGTGCCCAGGCTCTCTTGGCCAGAAATAGTCGAGTTAAGCTCATATTGGAGCTCCTCGATCCTATTGGCCTGCACCGAGGTCTTCTCCTTTGCAGCCCAAAGCTAAGACTCGACCGACGCCAGTTATGCTTGGACAGCTTCCTTTTGTGTGGTTATGAGGTCCGTGTTTTTCTTGAACTCCTCAGCCTCAGTTTGTATCGCGTCTACATGCACCTGGAGCTGCCCGATTTGTTCAAGCCTTTGTCGAACCTTCAGGATCGAATCGTTAGCCACTGAGTCCAGTTCGTCGTCACTGTCTTCAAGTACTCGATTTACCTGCTCGGTCCACACGGTATGCTCCTTCCGAGCCACTTCTAACTCGGTCTGAAGCTTCTTACTCAGAAGCTTATAAGTATCCCTTTTCTCAGTGAGCTCCCGAACCTCAGCCTCGTGCTGGGTTAACTCATCCCATATTTGGAGGAAAGCCTCATGGTGCAATACCGAGGCCTGTAAGCATAAAGAAAGGTGTTAGGATTATTTACAACTTCAAATTTAAAATAAATAATGAATTGACACTCGATGTTACCCGATTCAAAGCGTGTTGGGCCTCATTGAATACGCAAGGTGCTTCCACTGCATCCATCATGACTTGGTCCTCTTTGGTCACAAAGCAACTAAGGTAGCTAGAAACCCTAACAAGGGCAGAGAAAACACGGGCATCCTCCGGGATAGAGAAAACTATCGACCGCATGCGGTAAGGGATAACACTTGGGGTCGGGAATCGATCCACCAGCTTTGGGCTCGATGAAGACCATTGGCACTCGATGACGATACCTTCCTTGGCACTGGCAAGTCACCAAGACCGGT